TCAGCCTGTAATCCCATGCTTTGGGAGGCTGAGGTGAGTGGATTGCCTGAGCCCGTGGGTTTGAGATCCACCTGGGCAACTTGGCGAGACCTCATCTCTACAATAAATAAAAAATTAGCCGGGCGTAGTAGCGCTCGCCTGTAGTTCCAGCTACTTGGAAGGCTGAGGCAGAAGGATCGCCGGAGCCCAGCAGGTCAAGGCTGCGGTGGCCAGGAGTGACCATTGCACTCCAGTCTGGGTGACAGAGTGAGACTCCGAGTCAAAAAAAAAAAAAAAAAAAAAACAAATATTGCAACCAAGCAATATGCTAGGACATTTGGTGGCCTAGTGATTTCAAGTTTCAATATGGTTATGTGGAATAAATGTTAAATGCTAAGACTATAATACAGCTACTTTTTTTTTTTTTAACTGGAATAGGTTGTCTATAGCAACTTTAATGACCTCTGATGGTAAAGGCAATAAGGCAAGATTAAATGCATCCCATAGATAATTCCAAAGCTTCTTGTTAGCCATCATCTTCAACATTCTTTCCCCAGTTATCAAAGAATCATAATAATTAGGGCAGGTATGATAGCTCACACCTGTAATCCCAGCTCTTTGGGAGGCCCATGCCGGAGGATCACTTAAGCCCAGGAGCTCAAGGTTACAATGAGCTTCAATTACACCACTGCACTTCAGCCTAGGCAAGAGAACAAGACCTTGTCTCTTAAAAAAAAAATAAAACTGGCTGGGTGTGGTGGCTCACACCTATACTCCCAGCACTTTGGGAGGCCAAGGTGAGAGATTTGCCTGAGCACACAGGTTCGAGACCAGCCTGGGCAGCTTGGTGAGACCTCATCTCTACAATTAAAACAAATTAAAAAATTAGCCAGGCATGATGGTGTGTGCTTGTAGTTCCAGCTACTTGTAAGGCTGAGGTGGAAAGATCACCTGAGCCCAGCAGGTAAAGGTTACAGTGGCCGTGAACATGCCACTGCACTCCAGCCTGGGTGACAGAGTGAGACTCCAACTCAAAAAAAAAAAAAAAAAAAAAGAAAAAAAGAATTCATAATAATTAGGTGTTAGGAGCATTCTTAACAAGTCACAAAACCGATTTCATTGTTTGTACAACTGTTTCCAATTCCCAATGACCACTCTCTGGTGCAAGTATAATCAGGAAGTGAAATAACAAGATGAGCAGTAATAGGGAGAGGCAAAAAGTCCAGATAGTAAGTCCCTGGATCACTAAAAATTGACCATAAGTGCTATTTCCTAATGGAGGAAAAAGGAGAGAAGGCAGGGGAGAGGAGAAATAGCTATATAAAACTATTTCCATCTCTTGTGAAGACAATCCAAACCTCAGTTAATGTATAAATCCGTCAAAAACTGACCAAGTAGAAGTACTTATTGATTAAAAAGATCTTGCTTATGAAAAGATAATGAAAAAATACACAGTTGAGACAAATACAAGCCAATTTTATCTCCCAGACTTACCCTTCCCCAAGAGAAAAACTGCTGTGGGAACTGTTGAAGCCAGGTGATGGGGAGTTATTGACATATGTGATCTCGGGCCATGGAGAACACTAGAAACAAAGGACGATTCAGATATTGAGAAAGCACACTTGACCCTAGGGTCCCACTAAAACATTGTTACTTGAACAGTACATCTTGACTAGTAACTTTTAATTCCTCAGAGGTCTCCACATGCAACAGAGAATACGCTCAGGAGAAATAAGTTGTGATCAGGCTGCAAGTGATGGATTGTGGCCGGGCTTGGTGGCTCAGCCTGTAATCCTGCGCCTTTGGGAGGCTGAGGTGAGTGGATTGCCTGAGCCCGCGGGTTCGAGACCCGCCTGGGCAGGCGAGACCTCATCTCTACACTAAAATCAAAAAATTAGCCGGGTGTGGTAGCACACGCCTGTAATTCCGGCTACTCAGAAGGCTGATGCGGAAGGATCGCCGGAGCCCAGCAGGTCGAGGCTGCGGTGGCCAGGAGCGGCCACTGCACTCCAGTCTGGGCGACAGAGTGAGACTCCAACTCAAAAAAAAAAAAAAGAAAGAATAAAAATTATGAACTGAAATTGTCACCAAAGGAAATTCTTTTACCTCTGTGAGTATGGTTGTCTCATAGGAAGGTTGATACTTCTCTTTTTCATGAGGTGTTCGTTTCTCCATTTTCTCCCTATCTGTTTTTTGCTTTCTGTCTGCACCTTTGGGCTGAAATGAGAAATATTTTGTTCTATACTCAGGTACTCATCCTTTGACCGAATAATATTACTTCTAAAGACTTAAATATTCACATACAAAACAAAACTGTATGTTCAATGATGTAAAGGCAAGAAGCATCACCCTGCCGAAAATTGAAAACAGTAAATGTAAATGTTTGATAGAGTTGAAAAGGACAAGACAAATCCATAGCTACTGACATGAAAAAATCTCTAGAGCACGGTTAACTGAGAAAATCCAATCTCAAAACAATTCTGACAGTGCAATCCCATTTATGCTTCAAAGACAAGAAAATATGTGCAGAGCTGCATGGGGGTGTCTAGCATAGAAGAAACTAGAAGGACACAGGCCAAGTTTTGTGTTCTTCTTGGGAGAGGTAGGGGTCAGGGTAAGAGTGGGAAGGGGACTTCAGTGTTGCTCTGAATACTTCTGCATTAGTGAATCCCTTGCAGTGAGACATGTTTACCTATGTGATAAAAATCAAGATCAAAGTAAGGAAAGAACATGTAGGAACATACCCCAAAGAGTCACCTTTCCATAATCTCTGTGAGCTTTATAAGAGCTCCTGGTGAGACCCCTGTGTCTGTCTCTCCCCTCCACCCCAAGTTTCCATGACCCCTTGCCCACCTCCACATACATCTCTTTACCAGGTGTCTCAGTCGTTATTTAAGTGACTCCAGCTTAGACTGAGTTCTCAACGTTTTTGAAAAAAGACAAACTGACTTTCTGATGTGGTAACTAATGTTAAAATAGGAAGATAAGGAAAAAGAGCCCAAGGGTCAGCACACTGCCCCGGAATACCTTGAACACTTTGATCTGGCAGCTGGCTGAGTGCAAGTGCTCGGTATACTCCCCGTTTTCATTCTCCTTGAAGGTATCAATTTGTACTCGGAAGGGCACCCCCTTTTCTCCACCATGCTTTCTCATAGTGAACTCTGTGCTAATACAGTGCACCTGAGAAGAATGCAATAACAAAACATCAGGACTGTTATCTAGTCAAACCAGTCAGCAATATTTTTTGAGCAACTAATAGCAGAATCTTTAATAGGCATTATGAATACCTGTAAAAAAAACAAAAACAAAAACAACTTTTTGTCAGGGCATGATGGTTCATGTCTGTAATCCCGGTACTTTGAGAGGCTCAGGCAGGAGGACTGCTTGAGCCCAGGACTTTGAGACCAGACTGGGCAAGATAGGAAGATCTCATCTCTATTAAAAACAAGTTGTTAGAAAATGAAACACTTTTTCTTTTTTGATCTTGAAGAACTTTTTGATCTTGAAGAATTACAGATCAGAGGAAATGAGAAAAGCATAAATGATTTACAAATGAAAACAAAGTGAATGTATGGATCTAATGCTAATAAAAGCTAGTGTGAGAAACTAAATTCATTAACTGCTTAGAGAATATGGAGTTAACAAAAAAGGCATAAAAGATAAATTATTTCTCTATCTTTTTTTTTTTCCTGAGTCAACATCTCACTCTGTTGCCCAGACTACAGGCACATACCACCACAAGGTCTTACTATGCTGCCCAGGCTGGTCTCAAATTCCCAAGCTCAAGTAATACTCTCATCTCAACCTCCCCAAAGTGCTGGGATTATAGGTGTGAGCCACCACACTCTGTTTGAAAAATGATTTCTGTTAGCAAAACTTCCCTCAACTTTAAAAAAGATTTTAGATAGAAGAGGCACCATCCATTCTGGGAAAATAATAAATGTTCACAGCAACGGGGGGGGGGGAGTTTGCTTGCCTACTATATGAAGTCTAAGACTGATGAATCTTAATAGCAGAACCTTGTTTAACTGACCACTCCACAAGATTATAGTTTTAAGTCTTAAAATCATGTATACAAAGTGTTTTCTTAACACAGTGACTATCCCATGTTAAGTACTCAATAAAGTATTCACTATCATTTATTTTTTATTTTAAAGATGCAGGGTACAATTCAGGGTTAGGTATACAAATATCCTTATGTAGGTACCCTTGTTGATGAGGTGTGTCCCCCCCCATCATTGTTACAAATAAAGATTTTCAAAGAATTTACCCCAAAGGATATAATCAGATATGCAAATCAAATTTTAAGTATAAAGATGTTCAAAATAACATTATAGATAATAGCAAAAAAATTTAGGACAATCTAAATGCCAAACAATTGCTAGGCTAATTATAATACAACCAAAGAATGAAATATTATACAGTCATTAACAAGCATTTGAGGGGATAGAAAAATAAATAAATTGGGGTAATTAGAAGAGCAATTCAAAAACGCAACACTCTCAGGCACATGATAGGGAGTCAAGATTTGACGGTTAAGCTAGAACCTTGTAAAGATTTCAAATTTTTTTTTTTTTGAGTTGGAGTCTCACTTGCTTGCCCAGACTGTAGTACAGTGGCTGCTCCCGGCCACCACAGCCTCGATCTGCTGGGCTCCGGCGATCCTTCCACCTCAGCCTTCTGAGTAGCCGGAAT